CTATGAATTTAAATTGTATAATTTTATAAGATTTCTATCCAACTTGATTTTAAACTCAGAGTTGGTCTTTGTGGTTTCTTTCCACAGAGTTATGCCAATGCCTTGTCCATAGGAGGACCTCATTCATGAATTAATCTCGCTTTAGCATGGCTGTCTCTTAGATCAGTTGGTTTGAATCACATTTTAAGAGATTCAGGTCCACTGCATTTTAAGAAAAAAATTATTTCCCATACAATCATGGATTCAGTATGAGACACACATGAGGAGCACTGTGAGTTTTAAAATAATTACCATATGATCTCACTTATATGTCAAATTTAGTAAACAAAATAAAAACAGAGGCATAGATACATAGAACAGACTGACAGCTGTCAGAATGGGGGGGGTCTGGGGAGTTGCGTGCAAGAAGGTAAAGGGATTAACCTAAATAACATACATATATATATGTGTATATATATATCTATATAGATATATATAGATATAGATAGATAAATAGAGAGATAGAGATAGAGAGATAAATAGATATATTGCATAGACACAGACAACAGTGTGGTGGTAGCCAGAGGGAAAGGGGGGTGGGTGGAGGTGGAGGCAGGCAAAGGGGGGATAAATAGGGACAGAAAGAGACTTTGCTTTGGGCAGTGGGTGGGTGATACAGTGTGTAGATGTTTGGTTGAGTTGTACACTTGAAACCTGTATGATTTTTTTTAATTTTTTTTAATTTATTGACTTCAGAGAGGGAGAGATAGATAGAAACATCAATGATGAGAGAGAATCATTGATCGGCTGCCTCTTGCACACCCCCTACTGGGGATCAAGCCCGCAACCTGGGCATGTGCCCTTGGCTGGAATCAAACCTGGGACCCTTCAGTCTGCAGGCCAACGCTCTATCCATGAGCCAAACCAGCAAGGGCGAAACCTGTATGATTTTTTGAACCAATGGTACCCCAATAAAATAATAAAATAAAATAAATAAACAGACAAACAAATAAATAAATAAATGAGAGCAGCTTAACTCACACCCAAAGTTAGTGTTATTAAATCCTTACAGGGTTGGGGTGGGATTATCTAGGCATTTTTTTCATATTAGCTCTAACTCCAATTGATAAGGAAACCACTTCACTTTTGATCATGAATCCTCTTTTTTCTTTGTTGGAGAAACTTTTTAGATACAGATATTTCAATTGTATTTATCTGAAATTGAAGTCAAAACAGAACCTTCTCTTTTTCTATTTGGCACTCTCAGTGTCCTGCCCTTAATCAGTATTTCTTTATTTTTCTCTATCTCTGATTTTTCTTACTACTCTCAACATCACCTCTTGCTTGACAAGGTTGACTCATCCTGGCAATGCATTGGAAAACGATCACCAGAATCCTGGAATTAAGGAAAGCAGCTATAGCCTAGTTCAGAACCATGAACAGAAGCCAAACCTTCCTTTATCCAGGCTCAAGGAACTTAGTTCTATGAGAACTATCCTCCAGAGACCTTAGGTGACTAGAGAAGAAAAGAAACTAAGGTCAACATCTCTTCTTTCACACTCTCTTTCTTTCCCCTTATCCCACCACTGTTTTATAGACTCTTCCCAGTTCTGGTACAGACAAAGCTAGTACCTTGAAACTACAAAGTAAAAAATACATAAAACGGCCTTGAAACCATATTCATCATACAACCAATAAAACTATTATTACAAATGACCAGGGAAGGGTGAACTTATGTCATATGGATAAGGTGTATCATTTTTATTAATAAAGTGGTTCATATTTGGAGAAGGCACTTGTCTGACTTCATTTACTATTAGTTATTAAAGTAATTTCATCAAACTGACTTATCAAATTCTGGGTAGCCATGAGCACGCATCACTCAAACATCCCTCAGAGAAAATCTCCTCAGAGAAATGTAGCTGGATGACAGCATTCACCTACGGAATACACTGCAGCATTAACCCAAGGCCACATTCCTCAAGCTGCTCCTAACCAATGATTGAGCGTGTGGAAGTAATAGAAATGTGGGACTTCTGCTCAATGTGGGACCCCTCTAACATGCAATCTTCTTCTAAGACTCCTCATAGATTTGACTGGCACTTTCTTGTAACCTCATTTAAAACTTTTCATACCCAGGCCTTCCTTCTCTCTCCCCTTTTTCCTCTCCCAGATGTCAGACCCATGTCATGGTCCAAAGGCTCTTCTTGCCTGCTCTTGCTGTCTCTCTACTTCATCTCTGGGATGTTTCCTCCAAAAAAGCTCTTGTACTTCTCTAACACCATTGTGGTGTGTGCTTCTAGTATGCCCTTTAGCGTACATATTTAACAAAAGTCACCAAGCTCTGTAAAACTACTAGTGGATGTAAAATGTTAAATTGAATAATTTCACTGAAACATGCATCCATCCAGTCTTCTCTCTCTTTCAATTTCCTGTTTATCTTTTCTCTCTACATCTCCCAATTCCTTTTCTAGAACCTGTCTAAATTTATTGTGATACATGGGAAAAGTTTGGCAGAATAAATTTTGGCATGTTTTTTCCCAGCAACATTTACAAGAAATATATGAAGAGATCAGCAGAAACCAGAAAACAGCATGGTTAGCTCCATTATCTTATTTCAATGAGTATAGACTATTCTTTCACTGACACTTGAGAAAGGGGAGGGAATGATGACTGTGGATTGGCTCTGAACTGATCAGGAATGTTGAAGGTAAAAGAGTGAACTATAAAATAGTATTGTCAAGAAGAAGCAATGACTCCCTATTTTGAAAGTTTGCTCCAGTCTTAGTTTGCCAGGACTGTAAACATTATAATATTTAGAAGAATTGTAATAATATTTCATTTTATTAAAAATAATTTTAAAATATGTATGGGGAAGTAAAACAAGAAGCAAATCTTTCTGAAAGAAGTTGTGATTGAAGGCTTTACTTAAGGGAAGGGTATCTTCAAGATTCTTCAAGGGGAAATACAGACTCAGATAATGGCAAATTGTCCTAATGGCCCCTTCCCCATAGCATCAGAATTTTAAACTCCCTTAGAAAGTCCTTGAAATGAACAGTCTCTGAAGAAAACCATGTGGAAAGGATCTATTCAAAATGCAAAGATGACCTATTTTAGCTAGGCATTTACACAGCTTGCCCTTAACAAAAACATGAATCTAGACTAACTCTGCTGCTCTGACAATAATAAAGTCCATATTCAGACATGAGTTAGGAAAGCAAGTTGTTATGAAATGAAGGATGCCATTGGCAAGGAGGAGTTGCAGGGACTATAAGACCAGAAAATCTATTAGGCTCCAAGATCTTGACATACAACATTTTTTTCATAAGTAAATTGAAATTCAACTTAATTATTTTCTATGGTAACCTGTCATTCATTTTGTCAAGTTATCATGTCTAGTAAACTTGGAGAGACAGTTTGTGTGAGATATGGACAAGAGAGTAATCCATTTTTCACTTGAATTTTCTATAGATACTTTATGATAAGCTTTTATGTAAGCTGGTTTTCTTGAATTTAAATCGTTGTGATATAACAGTAAGACTGTGAATAAATTCTTCACATATATAAAGACATAGAAAGGTTTAAGACATAAAAACACCTTAATTACTTTTACTTGAAAAAAAATGGTATATGTTATTTTCCAGGAGCTTTAAACTTAACATTTTATATGTTCATTTAAGTGGATGTACTTAACAGAATATTCATTTTTGAAGAATAAAAGTATTATAAATATAACTGAAAGTATTTATTTGTCTAAAAACTCCCTAAAATATGCATCTAAATCTTGTTTCTATTTATATTGAATACAAATGTGTTCAAATGTCAACTCTAATAAAACAACTAATCCGTCCGCCTATACTATGAATAAGCTTTAGTCCACCCATAACAAATGAACAATTTGTTATATGTTTGCTGCAGTACCATTTACGATAATACCACCTATAAATATCCTTAAAATCAATAGAAAAATGAACAAATAAAAATTACATAAATATTTTAAAATATTTGCATCACTTAGAAATAAGGAAGTGAAAAGTTTCCCAAGACATGCTGTTAGATGGAAAAAATAAAAGGAATGGGAAAAGGAAACCAGCAGATACAATATAGCACAGTAAGACTCTGGAACTAGACTAACAGGGTTTGAATACTGATTTTGTCACTTACTGGCTGTATGAAGGGGAAGTTTGTTTTTTAAAACTATTTTATACATAGGTGCTCTCATTTGTAAAATGGAAGTCAAAATAACACTTACCTCATAGGGCCATTGTAAGTATCAAACAAGTCATTATACATAAAACAATTGTAAAAGTACCTGCTACAAAGTCAACACTAAACTAGTGCTTGTTTATTTATATACAAAATAACCTAATTTATGCTGAATATACAGTGATACACAATATAAAACAATTTTCTTTGAGCTTAGATATGTATGCAAGCACACAGAAAAGGTCTGAGATCATAAATGTCAAACTGATACCAATGTATAATTATGAGCATTAAAGGGAATCTTTTATTTTGTTTGCGTATTTTACATATAGAATATAATTCATACATTATTTTGTGATTAAATTTTAAATACTTTTGGTCCATCCATTAAATACCACTATAAAAATGTTAGTGTTGATTACATTCATTAACTCATTGACATAGAAAACTGTTTACACACACATCACTAAGTACAAACAAGCAGATCAAAGTTAGTATTAACTGTATGAATATGAACACATTTAGTAAAATTATGTGTTTGTATTTGTGTATGGAATGTTAATGTTAATACCTAATCTGGTTAGGTGATTTTGATATAGAGTCTTTGTATATAGATACACATATACATAATTATACATATATATATTTTTTTAAAAACCACTCTAAGAGCTACTTTATTGTGAAAAAAGAAAGCAACAGTGAGGCTATCTAATTATACCACATGCAACATCCTGCCTTCAAAATACATATGTTGAGAGCACAGCCAACTACTACTGATGAAAGGAATACTTTAGAAAGGTTACGAATGTACTTACCCGCCAAATGCCTGGAGCGCAGAGAATTTGGAAGCATCCAAATCATTGCCACTTACTATTCGAGCCTTAAATAAAACATGAGGGGGAAAAAAGAAAGAAAGAAAAGAAAACAGACTTTTAGCATACAGTAACTGCATAGAGGGGAATTGGGGACATGGGTCAACTGCACTAGACACATAACACCTGGTATGACAAATGCTAAGCAGGGTCAGCTCCAAGTCAAAGCTACATGTTTTTGTGAGTGGAGGTTTTGAAATGAGCTGTCAGCATTTAAACAAAGGCACTGGCAGAGTCCAGGAAAGTAAATCATATTACAAATACCGTTTGCCCTTAAAACTCAGTATATGCAGTGAAGACCATGGGTCAGTCCAGGAGATCATGATTAGCCAGACTTAAGAACAGATGCTGAGTTTGACCGTAGCAGACCCCTAGGTTGGCAAGTGTAAGCTAAAGAAGCGCAGCTGGCAAGGTGTAACCTCTTCAGAAATGCAACATATCGGGGGGCACACTTAAAGGACAACCAAAGGATGGAAAGCTGTGATAACATGCACATTTCACAACTAAAACAGAGGAACCAAAACAGGTCTAATATGTCACAAACAAACATGTACAAAAGACAAGATCCCTCAGCAGGGAAGAAAATGCATGATTTAAAACCTTTTCATCCACAGAACTGCTATCTGAAAGAGAATCAGGAAAAGAAGGGATACATGTTAGATGGAGTACTTTTCAAGAAATCACTTAAGCATGCACATGAACCAAGTGTTACTATGTTACATTATTTAAAATCATAAATGAACAGAATTTCAAGGTTGAACTCCAAGGGGAGATCTCGGCTAGTAGGTCCTCATAATTTCAAAGAGTTGAAAAATGTGCCAGAATGCTTGAAAAGTATCACAGGGTGATCGGGATTTAATGAAAGACAATGTGTCATACAAAGTAAAGAACACAGTTGAAGAATCAGAAGTCCTAGGCTCCGGCTGAGGTTCTGCCACTTACTAAGCACACTGGGCACACCACCAAATTCTCTAGAGTCTATACCTAACTTTAAAAAGGCCCCTGATACGATTCCTATTTGCTTCCAAACTTTGCTGAGAGGGTCAACTGAGATCCATATATTGAAAAGTAAACCTCAGACAACTAGATTAATTGAGGATATTTTACTAAGGGGTTATTTATTTATGGATTCTCATACCAGAGAACCTAAGAGCTACAAGAGTAATTAAATACATTCCATTTTGTAAATAAGAAAACTGATGCCAGGAGGGGGTAAGTGATTTGATTAAGATCACAAGGCTAGTAAAGGGCAAAAGTGGGACACAAATCCAAGGCCCCTGATCCCCCATATGCTGCCCTTTAGGTCCAAGGTTTCAGGTGTGTTGAACAGAACAGAGAGGGTTGGCTGGTCCACACTTCTCCAGTGAAATTTTAGATAAACCACAAGGTCAACATTTTTCAGTTTCAATAGTTCAAGGGCCCAAGTAGAGAACTATACACTAATAATTTTTTTTTTTTTAGAACTCAAGTCTAAATCTTCCAGGCTCATTATGGCATGATCCAATTCCACCTTACAGAGTATTATTGCTCCTAAACTTATTAATTCAGCTTCACTTATTACCATAAAGCTGAAACTACTTCTCTATGAATACAAGTTGACAGAAAGATGGAGCCAGAGTGACCTTGGGTACATGTAGTCCAAACCCCTCATTTTTCTAGATGAACGACAGAGAGATAAAGATTTATCCAAGGTCACAGAGTTCAGTGATGACTTTTATTGATGAAAATCTGAAATGTATTTGTTTTCTTGAATCATTAAGTATAGAATAATTAGTGTAGCTAAATAATTTTGTTCAACTTTTAGAGATTTTAGAATATCTCAGGGTTATATCTTTGAAGACAAAACAACATAAGCACAATATAAAGTAATACTAGACCACTCTTATTTATGGCCATAAATATTTTAAAATACTAAATAAAATATCAAAAATAAAATTCATCACTATTTCTGAAAAAGAATTATCATACCATATAGATTTTATTTCAAGCATGACTTAAAATCATGGAATAACTAATGTAATAGGGCATATCAACTGGTCAGAAAATATATATCTGCATTTCAGTAGATCCCAAAAAGTCATTTGATAAATGACTTGTGATTTTTAAAAAATATAATTGGAATGAGTTTTTTTTAAGTTTAATATGTTTTTTAAAAATAAAAGTTATTAGAGTCATCAACTTCGTGTGAAATATTAGGGCATTCCCATTATTATTAAAAACAAAACAAAAATACCTACTACCATTAATTTAACAGATTTTTGGAAATTCTGACCAACATATTAAAACATGAAATAGAAAAAACACAATATAAGTATTAAAAGACAGGATACAATGTTGTTGTTATTTTCAGGAATTACAATTTTAAATCCAGAAAACAAACAAAACCCTGGTCAGCTATTAGGGTTACTAAAATAGTTATAAAAGTGAATATATATAACCAGTTCATAAACAAAATAAAACAATAATAGTATGTTATTTACCACATACTATCAGCAACTAGCTTGAAAAAACAATGACATGAGATATGATTTCAAATATTCAATATTTGACATCTCCCACTGAAAACTGATTTCTATTCCCAATAACTGGTTTCTATATCAACCATCTCACTAAAATAAGGATAATCCAAATAAAGTCACCAATTATTTTTCAGCATCTGATTCTAATCATACATTCTAGTTCTTTCATTCAATGATTAATTCAATGTTTTATTCATTCACTGAACACATTTTTATTATCAACCAACCCTTTTTGTTCATTTCCACTCTTTTCTTGTCTACCTGTGATATTTCCCCCTTGAAAACTTTCTAAAATACAGGCACGTTCACATATCTTCCCTTTTTAAAACCCATCAATGTTATCCAATGCCCACATGAGAGAAAATCAGATTTGTGTATACTGCTGGCGGATGGCTCGTCAGACCTCATTCACAAACTACCTATACTTTTGTCCCAGTTAAATTCTTGCCCTCTCATCTTTATGCCATGCTCTTTGATACCTGTGTGCCTTTGCATTTTCAGTTTCCTTTCCTAAAACAGATGCTCCTCCTTTTCAGCTAGCTAATTGCCAGTCAGCCTCCAAAACATAGTTAAAGCATAACCCCTCTGTACACTGTGCATTCTTCCTCTTGGTTAATTCTTACCCTTTGCCAGTTTTCTTATCTGCAATCCACCTAGATACAAGCTCCTCGGTTATATTAATGATCTTTTCTTAACTTCTACTACATTTCTGAAATATAGATGACCAATAACTGTTTGCTAACACTGAATGAACAACTTTAAATAAGGCACATGACTTCATGGAAGTATCGAAAAATCTGAATCAAGGAAACATTTCATCTTTCTGTACAGGGAGGAAGAATTATCTTCAAACAGATTTATAGATTTAAGAATTAAAAGCATAATGATAAGTTGTTGCAACTTGGAATTATCCTAATTTCAAGTGTAACTGAATTACTAAGTAAAAAATCTAAGGCTTTTTCAAATTAGAATTGTGAGGAGAGCATATACAAATATTAAAAATTCATAAAAGCTAAAACTTTATGGACCCGGCAAATAATAGATTAAAAGCTCAGTGAAACACAAAATATAGCTTTGTAATAAACCTTTATACTTAAGAATTCAATGAATAAGAAAGGACATAAGTTATTAAAGAGAAAGAGAAGCACTAGTCAATAAATGATGCTTAGATCATAGGTTATGTATCTGTAATATTCATTTGTATCTTTATCTCACACACATCCCATGAAGTTCCAGATGTATTAAAAAATTAAATACAAAATAAAGTAAGAAAAGCAAGTAAAACTAGAAAAGAATATTAACCCTATGGAATGAGAAGGTATGCTTTAAACTTAGAGGTAAAAAAGTGATACCAAAAGAAGTTTGATAAATTTGTTATATTCCTTCATTACTTTTGTATATGAAACAATAAAAAATAAAAACATGTATTTGCTAATATGTTCAGCATATAAAAAGAACATACATGTCGATAAAAATGACAATACTCCAATAAATAGATGCTTAGGAATGTGACTAGATAATTCACAAATTAGAAGGCAACAAGAGTAAATAAGCACAAAAAAATATCCAATTTATAAAAGAATATCTAATCATGATTATAAAATTAACAGACTTGAATAATGATACTACAAATAATTCCCAAGGCTGTTGATAGTATAATGAACTTGACATTATGATGCATGGTTGATGACAAAGAAAATGATAATAAAATAGTCATGAACTTTTGGTGATGTCTAGTGATTGTTTTGATGAGGAAATTCCTGTTTTGGAAGTTGATGCTAAAGGAATTATTTTTCTTATGGATTGAATTATGTCCCCCAACCCCCTGGACCTCGGAATGGGGCTTAGTTAAGATGAGATCTTACTGGAGTAGCCTGGTCCCCAATCCAATATGACAGGTGTCCTTAGAAAAGGGAGAAATTTGGAGATAAATGTACACACAGAAAAATATTAGGTAAAGATTGGAATTATGCTGCCACAAGCCAAGGAACTATCTACTGGAAGCTCTGAGAAAGCCCTGGACAGATCCTTCCCTAAAATGTTCAGAGGGAACATTTCCCTGTCAATATGCCTTGATCTGACTTCTGGACTCCAGAACTGTGAGACAATACATTTCTGTTATTCTATGTCACTCAATTTATGGTACCTTGTTACATCATCCCTAGAAAAATAATATAATTTTAAATACTGAAAATAAATGTATGTGTAAAGATCTGTATTGTTTCATAATTTACAATAACATATTGGAAAAAGGTATACGTGAACAAGTATAGACATGGATTTAAAATTATGCTCTATGGTCTTGATGTAATAATTTGCAACTATTAAAATAAATAGATTTAAAAGACTATCAAAAATGTTAAAAATATTTATGGTGTATATACATCTATTATACATGATACATATACATATACCCAATACACACACAGGATGGCTTTATTCTCTAATAAATTGCCTTTTATTCTACATTAGTTGTTTTATTTAGTCAAATTCTGGCTAAACCTCTGAAATGGCATACAGAATACTTTCTATAATGCTGCTCCCAATGCTCTTTGTCTTAGAAGTCATATCATCTCACAAGGTCATTTTGTAGTTCAATTACTTAATATCATTAATATAGGACCATAGTATCTCTATCTACTTTATAGTGAAACCTCCTCTATAAATGGGATTAAAATTAGTTAATTTTTTTTAAACTTAGAAAATAGGAGGTGAACATCACTATTCAACCATGCTGCATGAGAACCTACAAAGCTAAAACTCTAACCTTATAGAATTTCACACCATATACATGCATCTCCTGAGTATTAAACCTATCAGAGGTTCTTGTGTTTATATCCCTGAGAAATAAATTTAAATGTGCTTTAAGATAACATATGACTTCTTTAGCTCTTAGTTTATCACCATATATGAGCGAAATAAGAAAGTTTGAGCAGATTATATCTAAAGCTCCTAGCTCTAAATGCTATGATTTTGTATATATGATGAATTTCAGTATAACAAAAAATATTTGCTAATTACCACCAAAAGTAAATGTCTTAAAGTAATACCTAATGCCTAAATTTGAGATATTTCACAATTTTCTAAGATAAAAGTAAAAATTG